CTAGCAGTCAAAGTATTAAAACTCTTTCACTTAATCAAGAGAATCTATTACATATATGCTATGAATGAAAGAGGAAAAGAATATTATTTCCCAAAATAGTTCTTGTAGGGGAAATTCGGGAATCAAGGACAAAGGCTCTAGGGAACAGAAATATTAATTTATTTCTTCGGCAATTTTTCGACACATGGGAATTATTACAAAATAGAATTTTCTCTGCTCACTTTCGGATTTCATTTAATACGCAGAAGCGTCCAGAGTATTCCTGTACTCTATTTTCGAGGTAACCGGCGGATACTCCAGCCGTTCTCTTCTACAGAGAATGACCCAGGTTAAATCTCCGTACTCTCTTCTAACTACTCCTGAAAGTCTAATAATAATAGTTAAATATATTCTACAAGAGTCACGGATTTTGTCGTTAAAAAGCGAAACAAACCACAAGCAGTACCGTGACCAGAAACAAAGAGTAGTTCTCGCGTTGCACGGAACGGTGAGGTTCTCATGTTCTCCACGCGTGCGAAGCTCTCGCGAGGCAGAGGCCGATCATCGTCATGTTACTTGACCGGTCCCGCGGCTCGGCACCGTTACGATCCGGCGACCCGATGCAAAATTAGACCGTGAATCCGGCCATGCTCGTTGCGCTCGGTCCAGTCGTCTGATTAATCGCGAAAAAGCACAGCTCGGGCTCGGGTCATCGTAATTAAACGAGCATATCATGAGCCAGCGCAGCAGGCCAAGCAGTATTATGGCAACGTTTTCATCGACCCAACTCAGAATTCTTAATTGGCCCCGGAGCGCAGACAGTGTAGCAGTGAAATTGAAAATTATAGCAGTCTTGATCAAAATTCATGAGACAGGCCAAGTAATTAATTGAGAAATTGAATAAATCGTTTCGGAAAAATACTTTCGTTCAACTCGAATTCAATGATTGTGTACAATTTAATACACAGTTTATTAAGAGAATATGATTCGGTGAAAAATAACAGCGGAAAAAACAGCTGGCACATTAACGTGGCTCATAAATAAGGTTCGCGTTGTAGTTTCGGGCAAGATCGCTGGGTAAGAACCAAGAGAATTTATCACCGTTCCGTAGCGCGGATTTATTTCAAGCGTGTACGATCCTGCTATGAGATCAGAGCTATTAAACCGATCCGCTTCGCGAGCGGTAATTACACTCTTCCCTGGCATGCTAACTTAATGAATTCGAGATGCCATAGTAACCTGACTCGATTTAATGACGAGAAAACAAGCTGCAAACATTTCCAAAAAAACATGTTCCACGCATTTAACACATTCGCAATTATATTGAATTAAATTTTCTTGAATAAACGTGTCTATTGCATTACTTTCAATGCTTTCAAATTGGCATTGCGAATGTGTTAAAATAAAATGGTAAAAGTGCGACGGTCTTCCTTGAAGAAGCTTGACGACGACCTTGAAGCATCGACCACCTGAAGACGACTGTCAACGTGTTGGTTCGGGCCGCGTGAAAAAGAAGTTTATCGCTGATTCATTTTGGAAACTGGTTCCCTTCGATCCACCCACGAGCGTGCGTCACGTTGTCGACGGACGAAGTCGACGGTCCGTGCGGCTCGCCGACGACGACGACGACGGCGGCCAAGCCTTAAAGGAGTCGACGAAGCCCGACTATTTTGGCCGTCCCAGCTGCCAGTGATTCAGCACCGCCAGAAATAATACGGGGGAGCACGCGTGTCAGCGCACTCTGAAAGGCGGGAACGAATTATTTCTGGTAAATCCGCAGCTCGCGGCTTGTTCGCTCGCTCAAAGGAGCGATGGAGGTCTGCATACAGCCGAGACACGTCGCATCTTGGTTCATCGCCGGAGTCTGGATCAACTTATTACTCTATTGCAATTATAAAATTCAATTGTATTTATTTGAAAGTCGATATAAAATATTTAATATTCATTCGATTGTTACACGTTTAAGTAAACGTATATTGAAATAATCTTAAAAATGTGATATGTTCAATTTTCATAAAAAAATTATACGATACTGAATAAAATATGAAATCTACATTATGTCCTTGAACGAAAGAAATTGTAATTTTATGATTCGAAATAAAATGTGAAGATTTAACGTATCACGTTCGATTATCAGATCGAGGATGAGAAGAAAATTAATGGAATTATTAAGGGGGAAGGAAAGAAGAAGGTCAGGGACGACCATGTCTCACTAAATGACTTTATTTTTATTTTTGTACATGACCACTCCAATCGAATAAATTTCGTGCGTCACCCAGTCGAGTCTAGCGTGTATCATTGTGTCCAAGGGTACGAGACTCGATGCAATAAACAATGATTCTGTTGCCTGGCTATAGATGAATCATTCCCTAAAAAAATCCAGCGATCATTGTTATCCCACGCGAATATGATACCCGAGTCTCGTACCTTAAGTAGAAATACAGATTTAACAATAAGTCGCATTACAAAAAAATACAAATGTTTTACATAACAATAAATAATTAAGCTAACAATGAGAGAACGTGTATTATGGAACTTGGACGACAAAGAAAAGCTGCACTGTATATTTCCACCGGCGCCTCTGTCACTTGGATTGAACATAAACATAAACTGTACAACAGCACCCAGAATTTATTTTTAAAATCCGTAATATTTGCACTACCTTCGCGCCGCTCGATTCGAAAAAAGGTTCAGTTGTGTCCAGTTCAAGCGCGGCTGCACTTCGATCGAACCGGCGCTATTTCAATTAGGACGAGCCGATGAGGTCCGATCGAAGGCAGCCGACTGTCAGTCGTCCCACTGATCACAAGATCACACAAGCGTATCACTATTCTTCTCGCACTGTACACCACTCGAATGTCAGTTCGGTTCGAACAATATCCACGAGACAAATTGTTGAAGAACAAACGAAAGCTGGTTGGAAGCAGAGATGATACTTTGTTCCTGGCACGAAGCTACTACTGTCTTCGGCTTCCAGTGGATGACTATTAAGGCTAGACTTGTTGGGGTAGAGGTGTGCGTGGCGGCATCGGGCACGAGGTTTCCCCACCACGCCGTCGAAAGCACCCGGTGCATGCAAGCGTCACCCATCCTCCCCCTTCTGCGCTCGGGTCGCGTTCGGGTTTTTCATTTTGAGTGGGAAACTGCGCCTCCGACCCCTCGTTACCCAGAGTAACGGCCGCGCTGATTATTAGCTGGCTTGGAATGTTAGACGGTGCTTCCGCGTTGGACACCCTCTGTCTAACATCATCGGTGGGAGGACGGAACGATGATACTGGGAGGGAACCCCACTTCGCGTTAGACGTTCACGCAGATTTATCGACATTTTTTTCTGGCACCGCGAGAGGATGGAAGGAGAAATGGAGAATCGTGGGTGGTTGGGATTATTGATGGGGTAACTTGAGATACTGGTTGACAGGGTTGGGAAAATACCTTTAGAAATATCCTGTGGGAAGTGACTTTAAAGGGATGGAAATATACATTTTTTTATTTATAGTTCAGCCGAATTAGTAAAATTCTGGGCACTAATTGTTAGTGGACATCTAACGCTGCGATAAGCATGGGAAATGAAAAATCGAAAAGCCCTGACGAATGTTTAGATAGTAAAATTACTGACTTTTTTCTACTTCTCACCTTATATCTTAAAAACATTGTACAGTAGAATGTCTTAAATAATCAAATAGACATAGTCAGTTATACTACAAAATTATCCAAGATACAATGACCTGCAACCTATTTTTGAGCTGTAAATTACACAAAAGCAAAAACATTATTAATGAAACTTTTTAGAGTACAATGAAGTTTATCGATATGAAAATGTTAATCTGAATTCATTGAAAAGAGGGAATTGGAATTGTAAAAATCTGAATTAGGTAATGTGAAGGAAAATAGTACAGGAATGAGAACATTGTATAAAGAAATTCCATACAAAATTTCAATCAAAATTGTTCTGGCTATATGTACAATTTCCATAAGAAATTACACGTGTTATAAATACAGTGAGATCTTTGATTTTGCTATGTAGCTATTTGCGTTAAATTAGAATAACGAACGAATAACGAATTAGATAACAGATCCATTTCCTAATCTATTGAATTAGTCATGAACAGTGGGGCATTGATTAATTTTATAAAAGACAGAAGAATGCGTCTTTGTTATCTCTCTAAGTGTTATTATTCACTTCGCGGGGGGGCCGGTGACTAATGAAACGGATTCAAAAATAAGCGGTAAGAAAAACAAAGTTCTGTAGCGTAAAAAGTTCGTTTGGATTTCGCACCCGTATGACGAATCGTCTGGTTCTCGTTGCGTTTAAAAATAAAGTCACGAAAGCGAAAGTTACCATGAACGCGTGTTCCACAGATTCTCGTTAAAGCCTCCCGCTGGGAATAAAAAAGAAATCAAGTAACGTCAGTGCGTGGGGCCGTTCGAGAACAATTACGCGATTCGACTTCTGCTCTAAAAACAAAAATCAAAGAATGCTTTTTTTTTTAATAATATCCGTTCGAGCAAAGAAACGACGATATCGTAAATTGGTCTCGCGTTACGTAAAGCGATGGTCATCCAAAAAATGATTTTTCTGTAATACACTAAGGACGAAAGCCAGAAAATGATTTTGTTTAAAATAGTCGTTTAAGCAAAGAAAAACACGATATCGTAAAATGGTTCCACGTTACATAAAGCGACGGTTTGTTTACCGGACCGGGTATGATTTATTTTTAAAATAAATCGTGCTTCATCGCGATTATTATTCCACGTCCGAATATTAACAATCCGGGCAACTCGGCTTTCCGAAGGCCGAACCCCTGGCGATTTGCCTTGATTTCTCTTTTGCAAGGTTGGTTTGGCCGACGTCCATCAGGTATCCACTGGGCGAAGTTGCGACACGTAAATTTTCAAGTGCATTTAACCGCGCGACACACGAAACAGTAATCAGAATTTATAAGGCCGCCGAATATATTATTCCACCCACGTGCCCGGGATAACAATGATTAATTAGGCGGCCGATTTATCATGTTTCATAATTCACGATCCTCGCCTGTTGTTTACGATTTCACGCGTATGCATTTCGTGTAAAACGACGCAAGCGTTGAAATGTTCCTTATTACGTGTTTCCTTCACGTCTTCCAGACTTTGCCACCCACTCGTTATTTCGCTACACGTGTGTATATAATAATTAAAAATACCTTCTCGGTTGTTGGAAGTGCCTCAGGTTTGGCACGTTACCGCGGTTCGTGCCGGGCTCAACGTGACATTGTTCGTGAAATTGAGATACAGCGAACTATCAGAAGCCAAAGATAAATCACTTCAACCTGTCTGGACTTCAACAGACGACAATTGTATCAACAAATGATTTTTTAAATGATAATTATTTGTAACAACTAGGTCATTCAATTCAAGACAAACTCATTTTTCATCACTTGTTCATAAACAATTGCACAGTAATTTATTTTAAAAAATACGAAGAATGACAAAAACTGTGGAAACAATAAAAGATTCTTTAAAGAATAATTATTTGTAGGAAACAGGTCCTTCAATGTGAAACCGTTCGATTACTTTTTAATAGTAAATTGTAAAAACTATTTTCAAAAGTACGAAAGAACGAAAATAACTGTAGAACCAATTTTTATAACGTGGAAGATGCGAAGCGTATTGAATATTTTTGTTAAATCGTGTTAATCGAGTCTGTGAAGACTCACCAAAATGATTAGTATTTCGAGCATGCACTAATACTGTTCCCACTTACCTTATTTACTTGATTTCCTTCCACACACCAGCTGGCAGGGTCTTTTCAGCGGAATTTGCGTGCGATGATTCATCGTCATCAATCTGAAACCAGATCAAACAATTAGAGAATTATTAATTCCTCTATTCAAACTGGGAAATTGTTTATTTTTGTTATTATTACTTATTCCTTTTACATTATTTTACACAGGAAATTAAATCAATAGTTGTTTTTAAACTAATCGGTTTGTAATAAATAGACTGCGAATTTTTATGCAATTCTAAAAAAATTGGCATGTTAGCAAATATACCTATTATACATAATCTCAAAAAATACATAAATCTTCCATCATGAAATTATAAATAATCTGTATAAGTGGATTAAATTCTTCAAAATATATTTCAGAAAATTTTTATTTTGCATAAAAATTCGTAGTCTAGTAATGAATTATGTAAGAAGTATTCGAAAGAGGTAAGGCACTGTAATTTTTATAAAATTTATGGAGTGTGTTTAACTTGTAAGCGTGAACGGATTAAAATGATTGGGACGCGTGTGCCATTGCAGAGAGAAAAGGAGCGTATTACGAGGTTCCAGCTGAGACTGGACCAGGCGCGAAAACGGGTGTAAAACCGTCGGTAGGTTTGGGAACAGGCGGAAAGGACATAGTCCTGGAACCCTTGACACTCGACGAGAACGGATTGCCATTAGAAATTCCCTTGCAACCCGGAGACGAGTCATTGCCCTGGAGAAAGGGCCAAATTCGTCATCGACCTCGACTCGGTGACACGACACCGTGGCGAAAAGCCAAACCGAAATCGCGGGACACTTCTTTAGATAAATTGCAGGCCACCGAAGGCCAGGTAAAACCATGGACGGAGGAAGCGATAACTTTAAAGAAAACTCCTCAGGTACCGCGAGACATACCCAAAGAAAAATTGGAGGACGTCGAATTGAAACCGGCGAAGATTGAAAGGAAAGAGATTAGGAGGCCCAGCTTGGAAGCTGTTGATTTGAAACCTGTTACGAAAGACGTGAAGGAAATGAAAATCGAAGAAGAGAGGAAGCTTAAAAGGCGAGAGGCGACAGGAGAGATTTATGTGGAAGAAGAGGACACCAGATTCTTGAAAACTACTAAAAAAGTGGATGAAACTGTGGAAGAGAGAAAGAAGGAGGGACCGAAACCGTGGACCGAAGAGAAGGTCACGCTGAAGAAAGCAAAAGTCGAAAGAAAAGAGATTCCCAGAGAAACTTTAGAATCTGTTGAATTAAAGCCTTCACAGATTGAGAAGAATCTGATTGAGAAACCGAGCTTGGAGAAGGTGGATCTGAAACGCTTTACAACGGAAAAAGTTACTGATGTATCGAAGACCGAATACCTTGAGCAGGAAGACACGTCTATGTTAGACGTGAGTAGAACTGAAGAAGTTAAGAAAATGAAAAAAGAAAAGATAGAAGAAAAGGTGGAGCAAGCGAAGCCGTGGACAGAAGAGAAAGTCACTCTGAAGAAGTCTAAACCGATAAGAAAAGAGATTGAGAAGGAAACCGTGGAGACTGTAGAATTAAAACCATCGAAGGTCAGCAAAGCTCCGATTCAGAAGCCAAGTTTGGAACAAGTGGATTTGAAACCTGTCCCAACGGTTGTATCTGAGAAGATTACTGAGAAAACTGAGAAGACTGAATACCTCGAGCAAGAAGATACCGCTTTGCTGGACGTTTCCAAAACCGAAGAAATAAAGAAAATTAGAAAAGACAAAATCGAGGAGAAGCTTGAACAGCCTAAACCGTGGACCGAAGAAAAGGTTACTTTAAAGAAATCCACGCCTGTGAGGAAAGAAGTTGAAAAAGAGACGATAGAGACTGTTGAATTGAAACCATCGAAGATTACCAAAACCCCAGTCCGGAAACCGAGTTTGGAGGAGGTCGACCTGAAAGCTGTGAGAAAAGAGACAACGGAGAAAATAGTAAAAAAAGATGTGGTGCAGAAGGCTGATTATGTGGAACAGGAAGATACGACTTTATTGGATATTACCAAGGATACGAGGGTGAAGAAAACAAGAAAAGAGTCGATTTCAACGGAGAAGGTGGAACAAGCTAAGCCCTGGACGGAAGAAAAAATAACTCTGAAGAGAGCCAAACCGGAAAAGAAAGAAATACCTACAGAACAGGTCGAGAAGGTGGAATTGAAACCTTCGAGGCCAGAGAAACCGGAAATAGGGAAGCCTAGTTTAGATCAAGTGGATTTGAAACCAGTTCCTCAGAAAGTAGCGCCCACGACAAAGAAACCTGAAGAGAAGGATATATTTGTTGAAAAAGATGATACTACCCTTCTTCAGGTCACTAAGGACGTCAGAGTTGACGAGAAGTTGAAGAAGAAACCGGAAGAAGTTGAAACAAAACCTTGGACTCAGGAAAAAATTACCTTGAAGAAAACTAAAGTGGAACAGAAAGAAATCCGCAGAGAATCTATAGAGGAAGTCACTTTGAAGCCAACAAAAACGGAAAAGAAGGAAGTAAAGAGGGAAACGTTGGAGAAAGTAGATTTACAGCAAGTGACTGACAAAACTAAATTCGTTGAAGAGGAAGACACGAAACTCTTAAAGATCGACAAAGATGAGAAAGTAGAAGAAGAAAGAAAAGAACAAACAGCGACTTGGAGGAGAGGAAAGAAACCAAAAGAGAAGACTCCGTACCAAGAGGAAGAAGACAAAACGATCTTGGACGTAAGAAAAGACGTGGAGGAACAACAGAAGGAAGTGCCAGTGCCTTGGGCCAGAGGCAAGAAGAAACCTAAAGAAAAAGTTCCTTACCACGAGGAAGAAGATACCACTCTTCTCGATGTCGAAAAGACTGAAAAGAAGACTGAGAAACAGGCGAAAGAGGAGGTGCCGGTTCCATGGTTGCGTGGAAAGAAGCCAAAGGAAGAGAAACCAGAATTAGCGCCCGAAAGAGTGCAGCCTGAACAGAAGCCAGAGGAAGAAAAATTGGAGACAACGCAGGTTCCGTGGCTTCGAGATAAGAAAGTACAGAGAAAAATACCGGAGAGGAAAGAGGAACCGGTTGAGGATATTAAATCGGTGGCGTTGAAACCGGTCAGACGGGAACGTGTACCGGAAGAGAAGGAGAAACCGGAGGAAGTTACTCTGAAACCTGTCAAACGCATTCCACGTGAAGAAGAAGAGAAGGAGGAGGTGCAACTGAAACCCATCCCGAAACCCAAGCCCGAAGAAAAGCCACGCGAGGAGGTAAAATTGAAACCATTCGAGAAACCTAAACCAGAAGTGCCAGAACAAGAAAAAGTACAGCTGAAACCGTTTAAGCGAGAAAAACCGGAAGATGAAAAAGAGAAATTGGTAGCACAAAAAGTACCGGAGAAACCGGAAGAAGAACAGCCGACCGAAGTTGATCAAGTCACATGGCGTAGAAAACCAAAACCAAAAAAGACGGTAGTTCCTGAAGAGAAACCGGAGAAGGCTTTGGTTCCACAAAAAGTGGAGGAGAAACCGGAGGAAGAGCAGCCAAAGGAAGTTGAACAAGTATCTTGGCGTAGAAAACCAAAGCCAAAGACGACGATAGTTCCTGAAGAGAAACCGCAGGAGACATTGGTTCCACAAAAAGTGGAGGAGAAACCGGAGGAAGAGCAACCTAAGGAAGTTGAACAAGTATCATGGCGTAGAAAACCAAAGCCAAAGTCGACGATAATTCCTGAAGAGAAACCTGTCGAGAAAGTCGAAGAAAAAGTTACTGAGAAGGTGACCGAGGAGCAGAAGATTCTGGAAGTACTTAAAAGAGAAGAAAAAGAAATTGAAGATTGGAAGGCCCTAGCTTTGAAACCGGTAAAACGCGGCAAGAAACCCGAGGAACGAGAAGACAAGGAAGAGATCATGCTGAAACCAGTGAAACGTCTTCCTAAAGAGGAAGAGACTGAGGAGGAGATCAAATTGAAACCGGTAGAGAAACCCGAAAAGAAAGTTGAAATGAAAAAACCGTTGAAAACGGAAATGGTAGGTCCAACTGCACCTGAGGAAGAAAAGCCAGCAGAAGTGTCAAAGTTGCCATGGCAACGTGGCAAGAAGAAGCCTGCCGAACAAGAAGAAACCGAAGTGACGATCGAAGAGAAGAAAGTAGTGGAAGAAGAGCAGAAAGACATTTCTGAAGTCAGCTGGCGGAAACCCAAAAAGGACAAGGTTGTGAAGGAAGTGCAAAAGGAGGTAGAAGTTGAAGACTTCTCGGCAGTTGTGCTCAAGCCTACGAGAAAAGAAAAGAAAACGGAAGAGAAGCTAGAGAAAGAGGAAGTGACGCTGAAGCCTATACAAAAAGCGCCCAAAGAGAAGGAAAAGCCGGAGGAAGTAACACTTAAGCCGGTAAAATTGGAAAAACCTGAGACAATTGAAAACGGAGAAGTAGAAAAGACTGAATTGCCTTGGCGACGTGGTAAGAAGCCAGCCAAGAAGATACTTCCACAGGAGGAAATTAAACCTGAAGAGACTCCGAAACCTGAAGAAAGAGCACCCGAGACCATCGAACAGGTCAAGGAGCAAATAATATTGAAACCCAAAGAAAAGAGAAAGCCTGAGGAGGAAGAAAAATCGGAGGTTAAATTGAAACCTGTGAAAAGGTTAGAGAAACCAGAAGAAAAACCTGAAGAGGTAACATTGAAACCTGTGAAACGACTTCCTAAGGAAGAGGAAGAGAAAGAGGAAGTTAAATTGAAGCCAATAAAGAAGGAGAAACCAGAGGAGGAGAAGCCAGAAATAAAATTAAAACCAATTAAACGTTGGGAAAAACCGGAAGAGGAAAAACCGGAGGAAGTCACTTTGAAGCCGGTGAAACGACTTCCTACAGAAGAGGAAAAGAAAGAAGACGTAACCCTGAAACCAATACAAAAAGAAAAACCAGAAGAAAAACCTGAGGAAGTTAAATTGAAACCGACCAAACGTTGGGGAAAACCGGAAGAGGAAAAACCAGAGGAAGTGACTCTAAAGCCGGTAAAACGACTTCCTACAGAAGAGGAAAAGAAAGAAGACGTAACCCTGAAACCAATACAAAAAGAAAAACCAGAAGAAAAACCTGAGGAAGTTAAATTGAAACCGTCCAAACGTTGGGGAAAACCGGAAGAGGAAAAACCAGAGGAAGTAACTCTGAAACCCGTCAAACGACTTCCGAAAGAGGAGGAAGAAAAGGAGGAAGTTAAATTGAAACCGATAAAGAAAGAGAAACCAGAGGAAGAAAAACCGGAAGTTAAATTGAAACCAATCAAACGTTTGGAAAAACCGGAAGAGGAGAAACCCGAAGAAGTAACTTTGAAGCCGGTGAAACGTCTTCCTAAAGAAGAGGAAGAAAAGGAGGAAGTTAAATTGAAACCGATAAAGAAAGAGAAACCGGAGGAAGAAAAACCGGAAGTTAAATTGAAACCAATTAAACGTTTGGAAAAACCGGAAGAGGAAAAACCCGAAGAAGTAACTCTGAAGCCGGTGAAACGTCTTCCTAAAGAAGAGGAAGGAAAGGAGGAAGTTAAATTGAAACCAATAGAGAAGGAGAAACCTGAGGAAGAAAAACCGGAAGTTAAATTGAAGCCAATTAAACGTTGGGAAAAACCGGAAGAGGAGAAACCCGAAGAAGTAACTTTGAAGCCGGTGAAACGACTTCCTACAGAGGAGGAAAAGAAAGAAGAAGTAACCTTGAAACCAATACCAAAAGAAAAACCAGAAGAAAAACCTGAGGAAGTTAAATTGAAACCGACCAAACGTTGGGGAAAGCCAGAAGAGGAAAAACCTGAGGAAGTGACTTTGAAACCCGTGAAACGACTTCCGAAAGAGGAGGAAGAAAAGGAGGAAGTTAAATTGAAACCGATAAAGAAAGAGAAACCGGAGGAAGAAAAACCGGAAGTTAAATTGAAACCAATTAAACGTTTGGAAAAACCGGAAGAGGAAAAACCTGAAGAAGTTACTTTGAAACCGATAAAGAAAGAAAAGCCAGAGGAAGAAAAACCTGAAGAAGTGAAATTGAAACCTGTCAAGCGTCTTCCTAAGGAAGAGGAGAAAAAGGAAGAAGTTACTTTGAAGCCTATTACAAAGGACAAACCCGAAGAAGAAAAGCCAGAAGTGAAACTGAAACCAGTCAAACGTTTGGAGAAACCAGAAGAAGAAAAACCGGAAGAAGTTGTTTTGAAACCGATGAAACGGCTTCCTAAAGAAGATGAAGAAAAAGAGGAGATTAAATTGAAACCGATAAAGAAAGAAATGCCTGAAGAGAAACCCGAGGAAGTTAAGTTGAAACCTGTCAAGCGATTAGAAAAGCCCGAGGAAGAAAAACCAGAAGAAGTGAAATTGAAACCAGTTAAACGTCTTCCGCAAGAGGAAGAGAAGAAGGAGGAGGTTACTCTAAAACCGGTGGAGAGAAAGAAACCTGAGGAAGAAGAGAAACCGGAGGTTAAACTGAAACCAGTGAGACGTATCGAGAAACCGGAGGAAGAGAAACCGGAAGAAGTGACACTGAAACCCGTTCCAAAACCGGTACCAGAAAAGGCGGAAGAGAAACCCGAAGAAGAAGAAACACAAGAAACTTCAATATGGCCATGGCGACGTGGCAAGAAGACAAAGAAGATCGTCGATTTCCGGGAAGAAGTAACTGTCGTGCCAATCGATCAAGAAAGAGTGGTTTCTGAAGTAAAGGTAGACGAAACAACTATCGTTGAACAGAAAGTGGAAGCAGAACAAATAATTCAGAAGGAAGTTACAGAAATCAAAGAAGAAAAACCGGAAGCGCCGGCGCCTTGGAGAAGGTCCAAAAAAGTGGTCGAAGAGAAAATCGAGGTAGAAGAGATAAAACCTGAAATGGTGAAGGAGGAAGAGAAAGTAGTAGAAGAGGTCACCGAAGTATCCGAAGTCTCTTGGAGAAAGAAGCGTAAGCCGAAGAAACCAGAAGATGAGAAAGAAATCGTCGAACTGAAACCAGTCGAGAGACATGAAGAAATTATTGAAAGCGTAGAAGAAGTGGTTCTTAAACCAGTCAAGAAAGAGATAGTACCTGAAGAAGTTAAGGAAGAAAAGGTCCATCTTAAACCTGTCCCTAAAAAACCAGAAGAACAAGAAGTTCCAGAACAAATAACTTTGAAACCTGTTAAGAAAGTGAAACCTGAAGAGAAACCGAAAGAAGAAGTGCCGGAACTAAAACCGGTGAAAGTAGAAAAGCCGGAAGTACCTGAGGAGAAAGAAGAGAAGGAAGTAGCAGTTTTGGAAATGCCATGGAGGAAACCTAGAAGGAAACCCGAAGAGGTGCCTGCACCCGTAAAAGTAGAAAAGGAAGAAGTAGAAACTGTAGTTCAAGATGTTCGAGTCACCACAAAAGGAGTAAAAGTAGAGAAGGCTCCCGAGGAAATAGTCGAGGTCGAACAGAAAGTAGAGGAAGAAGTCCAAGTCGAAGAGCGCAAGAGAAAGCGCAAGCAACGTACACAGGTCGATATATCGATCACAGACAAAGACAAGAAAATCGCTCCGAGGTTTATACAAAAGTTGCAACCCGTAATTGCGCAACCGGAAACAACCGCGAGATTCACTTGTACAGTATTTGGCAATCCGTTCCCCGAAATCGCCTGGTACAGGAACGAGCAGGAACTTCACGCCAGCGAGAAGTACATCATAACCATCTACGAGACGACTGCGGTCTTAGAGATAACCAAGGTCAAGGAGGAAGATGCTGGAATGTATTCTTGTAGAGCATCGAATCCGGCTGGAGTAGCTACGTCCACCGTGAATCTCGTGATATTCGGTACAGGAAATATGTCTCGTGACGTCTGCGTGTTGTTTGTCGTTTATGTGCTTGCCAATTATTTTTTGCAGTGTTTGCTTTTAATTAGTAAGTGGATTTTTATGCGAAATAAAATGTTTGAAACACAGAACTAAGTAATGCAATTTAGATATGCATTAGATTTATGAATTAAATATCATGCTATCCACTTTGGTTCCAATAGTTTGCCTGCTTTTGCAGTTTCCTGAGTACACTGATCAAAATTCAGCATACGTTTGTCTTTTATAAATGCATAAAAGCCCGCAGTCTATTGATTAGATTAGTTCTAAATATTTTTAAAATAATATTAATGTGTTGGATGGTTTTAAAAATAATATAGTGCAATATAGTCTTCATAGATTGATGTGTGTATACGAAACACCAGGCAGTTCTTTATTTTCTAAGTTATGGAAGATACAGAAAAGTTTTTATATGTAACTTGCACTGTCCAAGAGGACACATTTTTTTTTTATGGAAACGAATCTTTTTTCCCCAGAAAAAGAAGAGGAAGGCGTGGCGCCGCACTTCGCGACACCTATTAAACCTCTAATGGTCGAGGAGCACAAACCAGCTCTACTCGAGTGCGTTGTCACCGGGACACCCATGCCGGAAGTCAAGTGGTACCGCAGGGAGCAAGAGCTGCAGCCGCAAAAAGGCAAAGAGATCACGTTCAATCCCGAAACCGGCGAAGCCAAGCTGCACATACTGGAACCAACCGAAGAGGACGAAACGATTTATCGCGTGCAGGCTGTGAACAAATTCGGCCGCGCCGAGTGCAGAGCGAACCTGGTTATTCGAAGCGTAGTGAAAGTTAGCAAACCGGAAGTCCTAAGGGCACCGAAGATCACCAGACCGTTACCAGCTTTGACAGCTGTGCGTGGAAAACCTTTAACCTTGTCAGCTGATTTCGAGAGCACACCTAAGCCAGAGGTGAAGTGGTTCAGAAACGGAATCGAAGTCACGCCGTCTGATAAACGCGTGATCAACATTTATGAGAACACGGCCGAGCTGCATATACCCGAAGTAACTAAGAAGGACGGTGGCAAGTATGAAGTTCGGGTAGAGAATCCTGCCGGCGAGGCGAGGACCTCGGGCACTGTTACAGTGAAGGAACACGAGGACAAGACGGATGAAGTGAAAGCTCCGAGGTTTATTGAACCGCTGCAACCGCAGATCGTCGCTGAAGGAGAAGTTGTCATCATGGAAACGAGGGTCGATTCCTACCCGGCGGCATCCTTCCAATGGTTCCACGAAACCACTCCTCTGGAGGTATATTAACTTTCACAATTTTATTCATTTGTTTAATCAATTTTTCCTAATTTTCAATTTATTTAATCAATCAATTTTCTCTCATTTTTAATTTTTTAATTAAACGATTTTTTTATAATCCAGTTACAATATGTCTAATTTCTTTATTTTATTTTCAGTCGACACCACAGGTGAGAATCGTGACGCAAGAAAACAGATCTATCGTGATGATCAAGGAGGTCAAGCCGGAGTACGCCGGCACGTATACTTGCCGCGCCGAAAACGTAGCCGGATCGGTTACCTGCACGGCGACGATAAATCTGCTCGATACACCGTGGGAGGAGACCGTCGAACTAGTCTCGCCGACGTTCGCCAGGCGATTGTCACCGGTCAGAGTAATGGACGGTGAGAGCGCGAACCTGACGTGCGTCGTGCACGGAAAACCAACACCCAGGGTCGAATGGTATCACGATAACAAACCTATCAAAGAGGGCAAAGAGATAACCATCATACAAGACACGGAAGGTGTCTGCAGTCTTGCCATAACTGAAGTGTTCCCCGAAGATGCTGGGGAGTACACTTGTCGTGCCGTGAATCCTGTTGGCGAAGCCGTTTGTACTTCGTCTTTGATTGTTGAAGGTAATTCGAGGTTTTTGATAAAACTTATGGTTGTCATTAATTATATATTTTAATACAATTTCAACTCAGATATTAATAAATCTAATTTTGACTATTATTAACTTCATGTTTTAACAAAACGTCTATTCATTTATTA